AAACCAACCCTGGGCCCTGGGACCCTGCACTGTCACATATTCCATCAGGGGGGGTGCCCAGGACCGGATCTCACTGGACCCCCCCACAACCTCAGGCGGTAGTTCCGCCTCTGGACAGGGAGCCGCAGCAGTGGGATGAAATAGCCACATGCAGCTCCGGAACCGCAGGTTGCTGAGCCCTGCACTAGGCGAACCTTCTATAAATCAGCCCCTTTATGGTGACGCTTATGTTTTTTGATACAAAAATAATTGCTGTATTTGTAGCTGTATTTATTGTAATAAACAATACACTACATATGAAGTATATCATATTTGTAAATTTTTCTCTGTGTTTAGGTGGATTTTTCTCCAGGTAAATTAGGTTTAACCAAAACTGTTTGAATGTTCACTGTAAAGGGTTGTGCAGTGGATTTCCTCCAGGTAAATAAGCTTTAACCAAAACTGTTTTAATGTTCACGGTAAAGGGTTGTGCAGTGGAATATGTCAGACTTACGTAAATATCTATGTATCTATATATATGTTGCTCATATGTTCAAACCCCCAGGCAAAGCATAGGGTTGTGTTTTTGCTGACCTGTGTTGCCCATGCTGTTCAAGCGATATGTTTGTTTCTTTCTTTTACAATAGCTAGAACTGCGCTCCTGAAGGTCATTATAACTGGTTCCTCTGTGGATCCCAAAGACATAGGGGTCTATTCACTCAGCATGCGGTAGGCAGCCGAGTGAATGACCGACCTACAGCGAAGTGAGCCGAACGCTGTTCGGCTATTCACTTCAGGCTGGTACGGCTGATTTCAGCCATATATCGGCTGAAATCAGCCGCACATCGAAGTTCGTAGTGCAGAAGAAGCTCGACTCAGCCGATCAAACATCTGGATCGGCTAAGCGGAACCTCTGGCAGGCTACTCTCTGCTGTTCGGTCTATTCTTATAGATGCCGAACAGCAGTGAGTGAAAAGCCGTATGACGCTGAGCGGCATTCGGCTCGGCTGTTCTGCTCGGTCCCTCTGTGGGACCGAGCAGAACAGACAAATAGTTGAAAAAGTAGAAAAAAATAAATAGAAAATGATTGTGCGGAGCTAGCAGTGACAGCTAGCACCGCCCAACTGTTTTCTATTGGGCGGCAGTTCTGCTGCCGTCCAAAAAAAGAGAAATAAAACTCTCACGGCGCTCCGGGAGTCTCCCGGCCGCCAAGGAGAGAAAAACTCCTTTTTCATTTATCAACATAGTGTGCCTATAATGAAGATGATTTGCAACATGTGTGCCAAAACCTGGAACATCAGAAATTGTGATTTGTTGCAGGTATGTTGCATTTTCTGTACTCTTTAAACTATTATCTGTGCTGCAATGATATTAGATATTAGCCGCAGATTTGCCCCTAGGGCCTATACTGACCAGGTGTAGATCAGCACATCGGGCTGACTTACTCCCTCTGGTTTCCCATCTGTACAGATACTTAACTGAGGGAGACTTAGCTGGGTAAAATTGCCTCTTCCCTCTGCTTATCCGAGCAGAAGGCAGAAAGGGAAAAAGCAGCCGGCAGGCACCCTGTAATGAATGTCCGGAAAGACACTCACCTGAGAGAGCAGGCATCTCCATGCTGCTCTGGTGCCTGCACTTCTCTTCTTCCCCAGGCAATCTCTCCCTGATCACTGGAGAGAGATGATAAGAAGCAAGTAAAAAACTGTATAGTTCCCTGCACAGTGCCAGCACACCCGGTGTGAGCTATCTTTGTGCAATATGCACCTAATAAACAGAGGTCCCTCAGGGATCTCTGTTTATTAGGGCCATTGTGCACACACAAATAAACTTGGAGCTCTGCGCCATGTACAATTTATCAGGGTGATCGTCTTTAAAAATGAAAAACTATTTTATTGAATGAGGCTGTAAATGTTAGAAATGTTTAAATGTTATTAAAGTGGTAGAGTTTAGGTTGTAAGGTGACATATGGCAAGATTTACTCATGTATACCTGGAAGGGTTAAGGTTTGTCTAGGTCAACACTGGCTTGAACTTGCTGTGGACATTCTGTCAATTTTTGTGTTGTTCCTAAATAGTGTTTAAATGCCATGCAGTCGATAGGATTTTTTTTCATGCTTAGTAAACAACACTATCTATTTTACTTAAGCGCCTGTAGACTTTAATGTTACATAATAAACATAGATAAGTAAATCCCAATAGATAAATAGGAATTGAACATGCCATTTACCAATACAAATGGGTGGTATTTTAAAAGATTTTTATCTTCACTCATAGATAGACAAGGCATGCTTGGATCGGGCCTATACTGGACGGATTCAAACGAAACAAAGAAGGATTTGAATGGGGTTTTTTTCATCTACACTGCAAAACGAAAGACACCTACAGTATTTTCTGTAACATCTGTAAATTCATTTATGAGCGCTAGCACTCTATAAAGCAACTTTCACCTCATCCTTACTTGTCTCTTTGTATATCAGCTTCCTAAAGCCACTCAGGGAATCATTACACTGTTAAGGAAGTATCACATTAGCTCTCTCAATTACTATGTTAAGTAGTCATACAGGAAGAAAAGTACTGCTCAGCTACGTCTTATTGTTGTCATCTTGATGTTCAACAACTTAAGGAGTATATTCTCCTGGACTAGAGAATCATTTGAAAAGACAATGTAACAGGCGAAAATCTAACTATTATTGGGCAACTGTAATTGCAATTCTGTTAAAAAAAACCTCTTTATTTACCTGTGAAGAGCATGTTGTGATACACTAACAAATTGTCTTGTGCCTGACAAAGACAGAAATGGGTCATTGGCTAACACAGCACCTTTAATTTAGCAGCCTGCTAACCTTTGACCCTTACAAGAAAAATAAACAGATAAGCAGCTATTGACTGAATTGCTACATTACAGCTACAATGCCTGAGATGGTATGTCTCCTCTTTCCTTTTAAAAGTGGTGCACTTCACCTAAGAAAAAAATATATATCAATTTTATTCAATTGTCTATACAGTAATGACATCCAGAGTGAACCAGATTTGCTGTAATAAAACAATTAGGTACAATTTGTACCAGAGCTGCAGAACATAGAACAGGACAAAGATTTATTATCTGAAAATGAGAGGATGGTTTAAGTAATACAGGGAACATAAATAGCTATTGTTTTTACAATACAAAATACAGTGCTAAAATGTGTTTTTAAGACTTTTAGGCTGATGAATGAGGTAAAGCAAAGGGCCCCTGCTGTGCCCGTGAGTTTTCCAGCATTCTTGTGGGCCTGTTACTATTATTCCTAGGTTTGCCTTTCCTTTCTTTACCTTGTCTCAGTTTCAGCAGGACAGATTGTAATTGGCTAGGGCACACATAAAAGAGGCAAATGAAAGGGGAGGGATGGAAAAGGCATTCTGAGAATACCTTTGGGTGGGATATGCTTATTCAGCTTATAAAGTGTTCTAAAAAATGTTGGTGCTTTAACAAAATTGATTTAAAGACTATATTATCTTATTGTTTGTTAACAAATGGATTTTTGAATAATTTTTGGAAACATATTATGTATTAAGAAATCACAAATTGGCAGCTACCGCACTGTAGGAGCCCATTGTCATTGATGGTATGTTTTGTTGATGTATCCCACAGCACAAGAAAGGTATCTTAGGGGAGGACTGGGAACTTTTGGCCTAGGGCAAAAATGACCAACTGGCTCTTTCAAGACAGATGCAGTTTCCCGTGTGCCAAAAACATGTGCACTGCACAAAGTGACATGGCACAGCTGTGTTTGGTGGGCATGGTGAAAGACGGATATTGCCCTAAAAGATAAGGTTTATTGTGACATACCTTTTCATGCTGTTTATGCTCAAAAAGGTAATTATGAAGGATGAATTAAAGTACATCATGAGCTGAACAAAATAATTGCAGCTCTGTAAAACAGAAACTGACTCACCTAAATGCAATACTAAATAAAATATCATGTCGTGGTCACAAATTATCTGTCACTACATGCTCGTCTTGCAGTCAGTGACAGAATATTTGTGATCATGGCACTGTCTGATTAAGGTCTAAATGGCAAAGTATTGCCACTAAGGGCTACTAGCCCAACATATACATAGGCAAATGCCCTCTTGCCCCTCAGCCCAGTCCTTTCCTGGTATCTTTGAATGGATAAGCTAGCTTTATTGTCAGGAAATGGCAGTCAGAAGATCCAATCATCCTAGGACTGCTTAGTTGAACAGTTGTGGCAAACATGCATGTTTGCTTCAGCCAAGAATGTTTACTCACAGAGCAGAGACTCTTGGCACCAGTCTTATCATGGAGGGAATGTAGCAGCCAGGAAAATACAATCTGTATGGTAGATAAGTCAGTCATAGAGTGCTATAGGTGCTGCGGAATATCCGTAGGCACATGATTGCTTCCTGAAAAACAATCCACTGCATCGGGCAACAATCATCTCATGTGTATGGGTTCCCTCATGTAGACAATTTGAAAGCAAACCATTTTGGTGCATTTTTGTAAATGTCAGTTTTTAATGCTTTGTGCCACGTGTTGTGTGCCATGATGAGCAAGCAGTAAACACACTAACACATTATTCCTGTACTATTACTAGATATTACTTATAGATACAGATATTACTTATGTAGCCAATTGCTTTGCTACTATTAATAGTTTTACTTTTTGTTTAAAATTATACACACATGATAGCAGAAATCTAAAAAGTAGAATTATTTATTTGGGTTACTAATATATTTGCAAGGATGCTATGCCTGATAAAGAGATCTTAGTATTTTCAGAAGTTTGTAATACAAAATATATTCAGTTATTCAAATAAATGTATCACCTATATCAATGGATCTGGGGACCCTATGATATTTCAAGGGTGCCACAGTTACAAGCATGTAACGGGGGAGCCATGCCAAGTGCCATGGGTGCCACAGAAAAGCAAAGTGTAATATACTGTAGATACTGTCCTGTTCCATTGATCCATTTGTGGTGAACTCTGCTGAGGTCGCTGTAACATTACAAGGCTGAATATGTGTTATATATATATATATATTGTGGCAGTGCGTGGCAATGCCACTGTGTTATCTCCATTCCTGTGTCCAGAATTTGAGTGGCCAGCGCATGTTGATGGCACAGGTGTGCACAGCCTTTAAAATAAGAAGGGATGGGTTCAAGTTCAACCTGGGAGACAGGAAGGCTCCACCTGGGAGACAGGAAAGCTCCACCTGGGAGTCAGAGTGGAGTCCAGTGCAGCAGGGTGCTGTGGGTTGGAAAGACCCCCAGTGTGCTGGTTAGCACACAACTATGACTGTCTGGAGGTACAGACAGTGGGATGAGGCAGGAGTAGTGGTGCTGCAAATGCAAAGCCAGGAGGCTGGTTCGTACCACCCTGATGACGGTGTTCTATCAAAGTTTGTGACTACGTTACAAATTGTGACCGGCGACGTGGTCACACATTTCAATGTAATCCGGCCCAGTTTTTTGGTGGTGGAATGTGTGACCGCCAATAGGTCAAGCATTCCAACGCTTTCTCAGCTGTTCCAGGGCAGATCGGCATTGCAAATCGTATGTGCAGGAGAACTGATCTGCCCTGGAACAGCTGTTCGGTCCTGAAATGTCACTTCTATCCGACTCCGTGAGTGCGATCTCACATTCCACCCTACTCACAACGTCGGATAGAAGTGACAGTGTAATATTTCCCATTATAATCCACTTTTCTAATTAAAGGAAACAATAACAGTACAGAGTGTGCAGTTACCCCCCTAAACAACCCCCCCGCTCCTCATTCGGACTCACCTGCCAAGCCTCACAGCCAGCATCCCAGGCAGATGGTGTGCACTGCAGGAGGTGAGTCACAGGACCCTCCCCCTTGCTGAGAAACCCGTCGCCAGTGCGGGGCCCCGGGACCCTGCATTCCATCAGGGGGGGTGCCCAGGACCGGATCTCACTGGACCCCCCCACAACCTCAGGCGGTAGTTCCGCCTCTGGACAGGGAGCCGCAGCAGTGGGATGAAATAGCCACATGCAGCTCCGGAACCGCAGGTTGCTGAGCCCTGCACTAGGCGAACCTTCTATAAATCAGCCCCTTTATGGTGACGCTTATGTTTTTTGATACAAAAATAATTGCTGTATTTGTAGCTGTATTTATTGTAATAAACAATACACTACATATGAAGTATATCATATTTGTAAATTTTTCTCTGTGTTTAGGTGGATTTCCTCCAGGTAAATTAGGTTTAACCAAAAAGTTTGTTTCAGAGACTTTTTATTAATTCCCCCCTCTGTCTTTTTGCCATTTGCTGAGCCCAGCCTGTCGTTTACATACCCCCCTAGGGGGCACGTCATTACATAGGCTGGGTTCACACATCATTACATGAAAACGTGATTCTGTTTAATTTTATATATGTCTACATAGAGCAATTATTTTATTTGGGATTAGAGGATAAAATAAAATAAATAAAGTAGACTTAACCGTAACTGAATGACATATAATTTGCTAAAGCTGGGTGTATCATTCAAAAAATTGCCTTTTTTTTAATCCATTGCATCTTAGCACTGCTGATCTTCTGTAGCCTGTTTGTACCTCCTATGCTTATTTCAGTGATAGCTGTATGTCATTGCTCTTGGCGGGCTTCCTGATGGTGACAATGGCAGAACATGCTTGATGGCATGGCTGCTTATAGTGTTCACCAGAAGTGTATGTGGCATTGTAGCATAGTAGGAAAGCAGCTGGGAGACAGGAACAAGGACCGTCATGGCAGACTCAACAGGTATTATTTTAATGAAAGCTTTAATTAGAAGGGAAAAAATGGGTTTATCCCAGACATATTTAGCTTGTTTTATGTGTTGGTTTTATTAATAGATATCCTTTGTATTTATTATTATTGAATTTTGCATTTTTCACTAAAATGAACATGTTTGTATAAATGTCATAGTCCAGTACATGCAGTAGGCTGCTAGGCTCTTGCAGTATACTACTTCTAGGATATGACATTTCTTGGAGAGTTTGTCAGATATTTATTGCTGTTTGGCTACAAAATGAATGCGTTGTTTTGCATTTGGGTTTGATGAATAGGCTGAGACTATGAAGCGCTTGTTTTTGCATTTCTAGGGGCACCAGAGCTTGCCTAGACTAAACAGTTCAGAAGTGCATCATTCAGTTGTTAATGACTCTGCCCAGGATATCAGTTGAAAAAATCCAATTTTCAAGATAAAGTAACTAGGTCACCTGTGGTGCAATATACAAAATTAAGGATGACTATAGATGGTCATATTGGCCAAATTCAAACATTGCTGGTAATGACCAAGCAAGAATTGAGCTACGCAGGGCTTCATTTTGGATAACAAGTACTTCCAGCATGTCACACAAAGACATTTTCGAAATTGTTTGAACATTGCTATGTCCATGAATGTCCATTCTTCTATTTACTTTGGAAAACAGTTTCAAATCCTCTGTACAACTTTACTTAAGATTAGCCAAGTCACACTGAAAATCACAGCAATGCTATGTATGGCCACAGTAGATTTTCACTGTAACCTTTCAAGTAAACATATGGTTTGCATAGGTACACACATGTGCACAGAAATAATTTGGTGCAATCTTATTGAAAACAAGGCACAATACCAACATGGGCAAATCTGTATATGTACATGTAAAAAAAATATATAACAGTGCATAATATCTATGATAACAGAGCCAGTTTTATTCAGTCTTTTGCAAACTGTATTGCAATTCAATGACAAAAGAATAATCGGTGCACAGCTAAGAGAAAGATTTCTGGTTGAGCACAAACTTTTACCTGCCTGAAAAAAATATTCTTTATTCCAATCAATTAAATGCTTCAAATGTATTTGCATTCAGCTGTATAAAAACAATATGAACCAATGCTTGCTTACAGCGCAAAGGAGTGGTGATATATTTTGGAGGTGCGATGGATTTGCATATATCTCATTGTTCTTACAAATGTTCAATGCTTTTGTTGCCCTTTTTAGGTGGGCTATTCATTGGCTCCATCAATACAAATCCCTGTGAGACATATGCTTGTCCTTTAAAAATCAGCATGCCATCAGGACAGCAGAATTCAGTTAAAAGATAACCGCATCACAAGCAGGGTACAAGTTTTCTTTCTCCATAGAAAAAGAATAAACACTTAGGAGCGACCATATTGCAGTATTAAAAACAGATACTACACATTTATAAAGCACAGCAGTGTGCTTTTCAAATGTCCAATCTGCACACAACCAAATACTGCGTTAAAAATGGGAAAATGGAAGTGTGGTTATATGAACTGTCAAAGTTTATTTTCCAATCATGAAGCTCTCTCTGCTCCATTAATCAAAGAGAGCTCCATGGGGCTTGGCCTGCTACACACCCTGGCCCAATTATTTTGAATGGAATGGGCCATGGTGTGCATAGCAAAGCGTGGCATAATGAAGGGCAAATAGAAATATCTGCTCTCCCTTATAAATGAGCCCCTATTGTCTGCTAAGGTATTTTCCAATGTGCTGGATATTTATTTGTGCTATAGCTTGCACAACATAGAGTTGTCAAAAACACATCTCTATCAGTCTTTATAATTACAAATAGCGTCTGAATTTGGCACATGGATTAGTTTATTTGGTTGTGTATAGTATGTATAGTATGTCCAGTCTTTCAGTGATCCCAGTCAGAAGAACCCAAGCTCACCATGTCAATACCTCCTTTGAATACACTACAAGCTGATGAGTGCAAAATGTAGAATAGGAGGTATTCAACTGCATCAAGCTTGTATGTATACTAGCAACCTTTAGGAACTGAGTTTTTTCTTTGTTTTGTAGTAACTGCTCTAAACAAATGAAAGGTGAGATCTACCTGATTACAATGGGCTGCTACATTTTGCACATTCTAAAAACTCCCTGCACTGTCCTTTTAATAGGTCTGATTGTGTGTGACGAGTTTGCCATATCTCAATAGTTTTCAGTGCTGTGAAGTTATTCATATGTAGAAAAGGGTCAACAGCAGGAAGCCTGGGAGTCTTAACATTGACAAAACATAATACCTTTACTTGTATAGTGTGTCCTTAATCCTCTCAATCCAGTTACCAAACACTAACCCAACATTGTTGTCTTAAGATGCAAGAAAATAATTAAAGGTTATGTCAGACCCTTTATAGTATTTGGAAAGCAGTGTTTTTTTTTTGTCTTTAACTTTACTATCCTCTTTTCCCTTATGACTCCATATATTTGTGTATCTATAATTTAATGTAAGTGTAAACAGCCCTAACCAAGTGAAATGTTTTCATGATTTTCTAAATTAAAAAATAAATAAGTAAATTACAAACCCTCTGCAGTAATAAACATGATACTATTCTACACATTTTAGGATACAGTTACTGTACATAATGGAAAAATGTTTTGCTTTTTTTTAACATAAAAACAAGAAAACAAAATGTAAAGAGAAAGTTCATTCAACTTGTCATTCAACACTTACAGGTATATTTGACATTCACCAAACATTCATTGCAGCTAAATCTGTTTTCCATTGCAGAGATTATTTCACCTGCAATTAATGTTTTGTAAATGTTTAACTGCTTTAAATATATACCTATGCTGACAGAAATCATACTCGCGTAACATTTCTTGCAGTCTTTCTATTCTTTCTTTAGAAATTCTCACCCACTCTTTCTAGCAGAATACTTTTTCTTCAGAAATGTCTTAGGTCATCTTGCATGTACTACATGTTTGACATCTCCCTATAGATGTTCTGTAATTTAATTCAGCAAATAACTGGTAACTGTGTGAAAATATTGTATGCAACATGTTCCCTGCAGAGATTGTGTTAATGTCTCATTTAGAAAATGGCCAAAACATGTAATGTGACCACCCTGATATAGTAAGTAAGAGTTAAGTGATAACAGAGGTAACAATTTCCTTCTCAGCCTTAAATAATGAACTTTGGAGTGGTCATTCCTGTTAAGTAACCAGTAGTTAATTTAACCTACATATTATTTATGCAGTTAACCCCATGAAAAATGTATTTGAATTTTCTTAGCCACAGGATTGCTTTGTCTGAAAAAGCATGTTCTATTAGCAATGACAGCTCCCTGTATAATAATATGTCTGAGATGTAGTGAACTATTTATGAATTAAAATGTACACTCAACAGTCCGAAACATGCTTTAAATATAATTTGTAAGGATATATAAGTGTTATACCTTTTACAGATGATTTGGGTTTGCAGTGTTACCATATGCAGATTAATTCTGCCACACGTAAGTTAGCTATGCATGTGTAGATTTTCTCTCTTCAGCCTGTCACTGGATTCCCACATCCACACAGTGTCAATGGAATTATCTCCAGCCGGCTATTGTATTCACACAGCCGTGGAACCTTGAAAGGATGCAGTCACTGTTTGGCCAAGAGTGTTCCACCCAGCTTGGTCAATTTTAAATCAATTGTTGTTGAACATGGTGGTGTCAGCAGGGCCACCCTTGGCATTAATTTTGGCCGATTCAGCAATAATGGGATGGAATTTGAACCGTCTATGGAGAGCGTTAGGAAATGTAGTTTTTCTGTAAACTATCTATACCATCAAAAGAAGCTTTGTGTGCAAAAAGGGCACCCATGGATGGTCCAGTCTCTGACAGCAATGCAACTACTGCTAGGCAAATTGGTTCACCTGAACGGGGAATTGTCCCGAACTGAACCATTATGGGGTGAATGTATGTTTACTGCTGACTGTTCTTTTGTGTACCAATATGTCCTATGAACTGGTAAAATGTTCCCATGAATCACAGCCAATGCCCCCTGCAGGGGGGACTGCAGCTCACTTAAAAGCTGGCATATGCTGCCAATAATCTCCAAAACAGATTGCAGGGATGGAGTCACCAGCAAAGCAAATATGAAGAAAAGTGAGACAAAAGTCTTGCCGCTTTTGAAGAGGGGATACAGAAAGTGCAGACTTCCTTCAGATCAGAGTTGGAATAACAATTAAGCATAATAAGCATGTTCTCATGGCACCAAAGATTTTTTCCCCTAGCTATCATGTCCTTAAAGAATAAGTGCACTGTAAAAGACAATGGGGGAATTTATCAAAATTGGAGCAGACACAATCTGGAGCAGCTGTGCATAGCAACCAATCAGCTTCTCACTTCAGTTTGTTCAGTTAATATTTGAAAATGAAAAATAGAAGCTGATTGGTTGCTGTGCACAGCTGTTCCAGATTTTGTCTGCTCCAGTTTTGGAAAAATTCCCCCCAATGTACTTATGCTTTTGTCCCTTTGCCCACAGCTAAAGGATCTCATCCTCCCCTTCACAGAATTATATTAACCAAGATCCCTCTGCGACGGCCTCCATTGTTTATTTACATCCCGCACCACAAGTCCTCCCTCTCTTGGCTACACGTTACAGCCTGATAGATTTCTATGGGGCTTTTCTACCGGCATCTCCCAGCTGGGAAGAGCCCCCATAGACTTTTTTATAGCGATTTCCCTCATTATTTCTAAATAAAAGGACTTAGTCTTACCTGATTTTAATCCATGCCCAATCTGTTAATCATATAACATTAAAATGGTTTTATTTAATATAGTTGTGTGGTCTCGCATGGGGCTGACCTGGAGGAAAGCTAAAGAAGGTTTATATATTTTCAAACTTGTTTTTCACTTTCAGCACTTATTGAGTGCTAATATTTGTTCTGTTTATTTATTTATTTATTACAGGTATTTATACAGCGCCAACAATTTACACAGCGCTTTTACATAGTGTACATTCACATCAGTCCCTGCCCTCATGGAGCTTGCAATCTAATGTCCCTATATGCCATGCATACATACAGGGCCGATTTAGACAGGAGCCAATTTACCTTCCAGCATGTATTTGGAGCAATGGAGGACCGAGTAGGGCTGTGCTTAGGGCATCACTTGCCCTTAATCTGACTCAGGTGTCAAAGGCACATGCTTGTTGTGTGTACCGTATTTTTCCATCTGTAAGATGCCCCATGTATAGGACGCCCCCCACTTTTCTTACCCAAAATTCAGAAATCAATATTTTCCATGCTCTTTTGCATAACTGATTACATCCAGTTTAAATTTTGCAGAGTAAGACAGCCGCTTACTGGTACCGGTATTTACATTTTTATGGGCTCCCTGTTGCATCTGGGCACTAGCTACACGCTCTCCGCCGCATCAGCTGACGTCAGGTACATAAGGCTCATGATTGGAGGAAACCTGTTAGCTTATCTCTGCAATCGGAAGTTTCACTCGTGAGGCTAGTTTGCAGAGGTATCGGCAGTTTCGCAACCGCGGTTCTCCTCACGGCCCCCCGTGTATAAGACGCCCCTCCATTTTTAGGTAAATATTTTTAAGAAAAAGTATATGTATAAAATGTATATGTATGTTGCAACTTGATAAGCAAAAATCTGCAAGAGTGTGTTAAGGTAAATGAATGAAACATTGCTGGGTATTGAGGCCATTGCAATCGTACATTTGTTTCACATTCTCAGTAAGTGAATTTATGTACATCCCCCTAATCGAGTTTTCCTAATGATGGATGGATCCTGATATGACCCTATAGTCATCAACAGACACTTTAACAAAAATAATTAGTAGTATTCTAACATTCAAGGACTCCAGATCAAGTCTTATAAACTATATTTGGAGACTGGGATTAGCATGAAGTTTATTTTATTAGGAACCACATGTTTTCTGGAGATCCAAACACAACTATGAATTGCAAACTGAAGTCACAAAAATTTATCAAAATCAAAATTCTATATAAAAGCATATATTTCTTTAGAATTATTTTACCTATGGTTTTCAGGTGAGCAATTTCACCACAAATCCTGATAATCAGTAAGTGTCAAATTTCACAAAAACAAATTGTTTATTCATTATTAATAGCGCTATTTACTACGTTTTTGAATGTTGATAACACAAACAGGTTTTCTCACCATTGTTAAAACTGTGATTAGCAAATATTTCAAAATTAAATGTAACACCTGACTGAATGTTTCTAAATTCAAAAATGAACATGTTTCTGAATGTTTCTTAATTCAACAATATTTGTTATAAACAACCATAGACAGTTATTAAAATGTGAACATTTTAAAGGAGAACTATGGGGCAATGTTTTTTTTCCATAGTTCTCTTTTGAGTCACGGGAGGACATATACTGTATCCTCCTATAAACCAAAAGTTAGCATATAGCAGGCTATTGCTGAGATTGCCGCTGGCGGGACTGATCCCAACAATACTGCTGAGATCCACGCAGCTGCCTGATTGACAGCTGGCTCTGCCTCTCCAGAGCAGAGCCCGCTGTGCCTGCCCCCTCCACCATACATCCCTCCAATCAGCATTGGAGGATCAGAGAGGGGGGGGGGGATCTGTGACAGTCACCACTCTCTGCAGGGAGATGATCGGGAAGTGAGCGGATCGTAGGTATGTTTTTGCTTACTTCCCAATCAATAGATCCAGCGTGTGACAGTTTCAATGTCACACGTCAGCTCTAACTATGGGGATGAGTGTAATTCACTCACCCCATAGTTATCCTTTAAATATGCAACCAGAATTGTGATGTTTTGTTACATATTTTGTTCATGGTAACCTAACAGCATATATATTTGGTTGGGGGTTCTTTTGACCCACTATTTTCATTGCTCTGTCGTGCATGGCACCAGAGGGAAATATTTGCTTTTGAGGATTTTTGTTAAAGACAGAGTGCAGGGAGTAGATGTATATTTAATACAATTATTTGCTAGCGATGAAAAGTGCGTAAACATTATAGAGTATACAGTATTTTCCATCTAGCGCAACAGCTGAGCTACACATGACCTT